TGTCCTCTCCCTGGTCTGACTTGCCCCCAGCTTTTTCCAATCTCCAGCCAGGAACCCAGAGAGCTACAGCAGGTGTCCAGTGCCAGGAGTTTCTGTAGTGTGTATTTTGCAGATGGGGAAACTGAGACACAGGCTGGAAAGTGGAAAGCTGGGATTTGAATCTAAGCCCACCTGTCTCCAGAGCCTGACACCCTACGCACCCTCCCCCGAGTCCCTCCCCTTCCAAGCCAAGCCTCTCAGGAGGTACCTGGGAGGCCTGTCATCCTTTCACAAACATGTATTGGGTGCGGACTGTGTGCCAGGTGCTGGCTGTACACTGGGGGGCCAGCAGGGTACTGACTACCACAGGATTCCCACCACATCCAGAACCTCAGCTCTAAAGGGTGGGAGTGGAGATGGCAAACAACATATATTTTATTAATTTGTTTCATGATGTCAGGTAGTAGAGAGAAAAATAAGGAAGGAAAAAGGACCAGGAGTTGATCAGTAAGGGCTGCAATTTTAAACAGGAAGGTCAGGAAGGCCAGGAAGGCCTCTCTGACAAGATATTTGAACGAAAGAGGCGAGGAAGGAAGCCACGGGGACAGAACATTCTAGGCAGCTAGAACAGCTTGTGCAAAGGCCCTGAGTGATGGGGCTGGAACAGAGGAGAGAAGGGGAAGAGGCGAGGTGAGGGTAGGGAAGTGACAGCCAATATCTAAGCAATATCTCAGACGGAGAAATGAGACTCAGAGGCAGACATCTCCAGAGCTTGTCCTGCCTGCTCTCTCCTGTCACTCAAGCTCCCTGTACCCTGCCATCTCAATAGTTTAGCCTGACCTCCTTGCCCCAACTGTGGTACCATGGCACCTGCCAGGATCACTGCCATGGCTGAGCCAGGGCCCAAGGGAGCTGCTCTTAGGTGCACCCATCCCCATTTTGGAGGGTGATGGGGGTGGTGGAGGGAATAGTCCCAACCATGGTGTGTCTTGGCTCCGATTAAGGTTCCAGGGTCCACGTGTCCAAAGCCTCTGAAGCCGGAGGGGTTTGGGGAATATCTGGGTGAGGGATGGGAGTGTGGAGGGTCACCAGGCCCAGATGACCAGGCCTTTCATAGGGTCTGTGTGTGAGTGTGGGTTGAGGGGGGGAGGGGTGCCTTTTTCCTCAACCTGGAAAGGGAGTGACTGGGCTGGTGGCAGGGCCATCCTCAGGGCCTGCCTCGGTTTTTGCTGCTTGTCCTCAAGGCGCAGTCAGACCCCAGCCTGTCATCCCTGTGTCCCTTAGGGCTCCGATCACCTTTTTGAGAGCATCCTACCTTAACACCCAGCTCTGAGCCCTGTACAACCCGCCTGGCCTGTAGGCCAGCCACCAGTGCCGGCGCCCCAGCCCCCCACGTCCCCCATCATTACCCTCCCCTGGCTACTTTCCTCCACTCCCTCTAGCCCCTCCAGGGTCTCCCAGGTCAGCTGAGCCCCACAAGTGCAGGGAGAAGGGGGTGGGCTTCCCTCCTGTCAGTCCCCTCAGCCTTCAGGGTTCCAGGACTTCAGAGCAGAATGACCAGTGCACACAAGGGACAAAGTACCAAAGCAATACCCCCTCCCTGCAAACCGCAAAGCAGTTCTGGAGCAAGGACACTCCAGGGTCTGCTGTTGCACCCGAGAGCCTGTCTCTTCATCTGCTCCACTCTCCCCCTCGCTCACTCCGCTCCGGCCACACCAGCCCCCTCACTACCTCTAACATGCCAGGCCTGGTCCTGCCTCGGAACTTTGACCATGCTGGTCCCTCTGCCTGAATGCTCTTCCTTCAGATGCCCACCCATCCCCAATCTGACTGGCTCCTTCTCATCCTTCAGGTCTCTTCTTATCATCTTCCTCCTTCCATCCTCCCAGAACATCAGTTCCATGGGAGGGGGGAGATTTTACTTTGTTCACTACTAGTCTCCACTGTCTCCCAGTGCAGGGACTTTCGAAGTATAGGCTGAATGAAGGTGGAAGGGAGATAAAGCCAGGCATGGCTGGCAGGGGACCCGTACTCAGATACACATACTAGGACTTGGGCCAAAATATGGTTTTGAAAGCCCAGGAGGGCGGGGAGAAAGCCAAACTCCTGCTGGTTCAGTGCGGGGAACTGGTGTGAGGGCATCATATAACAAGGGTATAAAATCAAGATAGGGAGGAGCAAGGCCTCCTCTTTGCCACTGCGGCCAGAGACAAATTGGGTCTGAGGTGCAGATACAGGTGCAGCTTCAAGGGTGGCAATAAAAAGCCCATTCTGAAAGGCTTCGGGGGGGGGGGGGGGGCGGGGGGGTAGAAAAGGCAAACAAATAAGGGAGTAAGACCCTGCCAAGGGAGGGATTAGAAGCAGGGGATTGAGAAACATGGCTTCGTCCTTTAAAAAATTTTTTTTTTTAGTGATTTCAGAGAGAGGAAGGGAGAGAGAGAGAGAGAAACAGCAATGATGAAATCACTAATCGGCTGCCTCCCACACGCCCCCACTGGATCCAGCCAGAAAACCCGGTACGTGCCCTAACCGGGAATCCAACTGTGAACTACTCAATGCTCAACCACTGAGCCACACCGGCCGGCTCGTTCTCCTTTTTGAAGCCCTTGCTCCTTCGGCTTTATTTTTTAAATATATTTTTATTGATTTCAGAGAAGAAGGGAGAGAGATAGATAGATAGATAGATAGATAGAAACATCAGTGATGAGAGAGAATCATTGATTGGCTGCCTGCTGCAGGCCCCTACTGAGGATCGAGCCCGCACCCCGGGCATGTGCCCACAGGCTGACGCTCTATCCACTGAGCCAAACCAGCGAGGGCTCCTTTGGCTTTTGACTTGTCACCCACTCCTGGTTTCCTTCCACCCTCTCTCCAAATTCCACCCCCCCACCCAAGGTGGGTATGTGTCCCAAGCTCCAGGCTTGCTTCTCCAAAGCCTGCCCTGCACCCAGCCGCACCTCACCTCCACCTGGACCGCCAGTAGCACCACAGAAACAGATTGCTAACTTGTACCTGAACCTGCTTCCCACGCAGCAGCTTCTGCATCCTATCCAACTGCAAATCTGCCCTGGACCCACCCACTTACTTCTCACACAGCCACGCTTCCACCTGGTCCAGCTCCATCATGATCTGGACCAGTGCAGCGTGCCTGCCTCCATGCTGGCTCCTGCAAGCAGCAACTCCCATGTACCCTGCAGTTCCTCCCCTCCACAACTTAGCTCACTGGTCTCTGCCCATTAACTCTTCTTTTTTTTTCTCTCCCTCTTCCCATTAACTCTTAATCATCCTTACTAATGAGTCCAACAGCCACCTCCTCCAAGAAGCCTTTCCTGACCCCTCCCCAGGCTGAATCAGCTCACTCCTCTGGTCCCCTACCCCCAGGCATTCTATTTTATCAGATGCTTATGGCCTATGAGCTGGACAATGTGCTCATCTCTGAAGTGATGATTGTTATTATTCCCATTTTGCAAGGAAGAAACTGAAGCACAAAGGAAGTGAAGTCACTAGCCTGAGGGCATTGACCTCAAACTGGCAGGACCTGGTCTGTGGCAACTTCCAGACAACCACAGCAGGAAAGGGGACAGCCTGCAATGCCTGGATAAGAGAGAACCTTGCCTCGCCACCCCATGCCTGCTTTCCTGTGGGTGTCCCAGGGGTAGTGGGAGGTGGGAGGAGTGAACCAAGGCCTGCTCCCCCATCCCCCCACCCCCACCAACTACAGTCATCCTAGCAGCTCCTGTGCCAGTGTTCACTCCATGCCAGGCACTGGGCCAACTAAACACTTTGCATGCCTGACTCAATCTGCAAATGGCCCTGGGTCTGGAGATGGGTGCAGTTACGAACTCGAACTCCCATTTCTCGGAACAAGAAATGGAGGCTCATAGGGCTGTGAACTCCCACTGGCACTGGAGTCTTCCCCATCTCCACCTAGTCAGGAGGCTGCCACTGGGATGGCCAAGCCCTTTCCTAGCCAAGGCTTCCTTTGACCTCCGACACTCCCAGGGATAGGAACTGCTGACCCATTTTGCAGATGGGCAAACTGAAGCTCAGAAACTTTCCCTGTGGCCAAAAGGCCAGTTCAAGGACCAAGGCTCCCAGCTTATTTTCACTGCCTCTTCCCTCTCCACTAAGACGTCTTTGCTGGGAGCTAGGAGGGCAGGCAAGGAAGGTCCTGAGAGCCTCCTCCCTGCAGTCTGGCCAGGCCTGTGGGACCCAGGTGTGCTGAGTAAGGCTCTAGGGCACTCACTGGTTTATTCACAGCAGCTGCTCTTGGAAGGGGACTGAGTTGAGGTGGGGATGCAAGGAGCTTCAAAGACAGCCCCATCCTCCAGAATTTCTAACTCAGATGATCGATCCCATGCAACAGATCCAGGCCGCCTCCATGGGGCCAGCTGGGGCTCAGTTGCTTGGGACCTTGCCTGGGCTCTCCCATCAGGTGGCATTCTCATAGGTTTTGCAAATCAGCCTTGGCCAAAACAGGCCCCTCCTCCACCCCCCACACACGTTTTTCCCTCAGTTTCCCTATCCCTGCCATGAAAGGCCCCTCCACACTCCCAGCTGCCCAAGCCAGCAATCTCCTCTGGGCACTTTCCTTCATGCCCCACTTCTGAGCAGGGAGGAGATAATGATGTTCAGACAAAATTAACCCCCAATTCACCTAGTTTCCACCACCCCTGCCAGCCCGGCCGCAAGCAGCAGCCTCCTCCCCTCTGTTCTGCCCACAGCAGCTGCTGGATCTTCTTAAGACTACCGCACCCACTTTGTTCTAAGCCTTCTGGGGACCCCACAGGCTTGAAAATGGAAACCACACACTCCTGCCACCCATCTTCGAGGCCCGGGCCAACCTCTCCCACTTCCAATCCCCGCGCTTCAGCCACGCTGGCTCTGTTCCGCCCTGCAGACACACCAGGCTGGGCCCTACCTCTGAATCTTGCCGTTTCCTGGGCCTAAGAAGCCCTCGTGGCTGGTTACTCCGGCCCGGACGGTACCTGCTCCGAGAAGCCCTCCCTGACTTGACTTACCCCATCGCCTGATGCGTAGTCTTCCCCGCACTCAGCAGGGGCTGGAACGGTCGGTTTCTGTTTACGCGGCTCCTAGCAGCCTCTGCGGCCCCGGCTGCACCCCCAACTCGGGCACGTCGGGGGCACCCGGGAGTCGCTCCGGATGGGTTCGCGGGTGAGGGACCGACACTCGCGCAGCGCTCCCCGCGTCCACAGCGATTCCCTGGCGTCACGGTGCCAGGCTGCCCCAGTCCTTCCCGCCCGCGTCGCAGCCGCATCCCCGGGAGCGCGCGGCGCCGGGGCCCTCCAGGGAGCAGGGCTCTCTCGGGGAGGCAGCCCGGGCCTGGGACCAGATGGGAAGCCCCAAGAGGCCGTCCGGGCAGGGCGCTGGGGGGCCGAACTGAGTCACGTGGGGGCCGGGCCGGGGCCGCCATGGCTGTGGAGGAGGGGCGGGCGCTGGCCGCGAGGGTGGCGTTTGGGACGGCGTTCTGGGCGCGGGAGGTTCGCTTACCTGGGGGGCGGGCGGCCGAGCTCACCGGGTTGGGGTCTGCACGCCAAACAGAGAAACACGCAGGGAGCACCAGGTAGCCGGACTCGGCACGGCGCCGGCTGGGGCCGCGGGAAAAGGCTGGAGGGGGTGCGGGGCGGGGCCTGGAAGGGCGGGGCTGGGGGCGGGGGCGGCGGGACGCTGGATCCTGGCGGCGCTCGGCTCCCTCTCGGCAACCGGCCACTCCCCTCCCGCCCGCGGGCGGCCGCAGACCCTCCCCGCCGCCGGCCCCGCCCCGAGGCTTTCTTGGCTGCGATCCAGCCTCAGATTTCTCGCCGGAACCTGCCGCTCGCCTCTGAATACGGCCCAGTACGCCGCGCGCTCAGTCTGGCCCCCTGCTTCTCCTGCGTTCGCCGCTCGTACCCCGGCCCCCGCGGAGCCCGCTCTGGCCCGGCTCTGACCCGTGCACCTGCCAACACTCGGAGGCGCCCTGATCTGCCGAAGCGCACGACTGGGCGTTGCAGAGGAGGCCCAGACACCGCCTCCGGCCTCAGGCCGCCTCGGTACCTGGAGTCTAGGGTCCTGTCCCAGCTCGCCGGCCATGCGGGTCCAGTTCGTGGTGCGTGGGGCCCAGGCGCGCCCAGAGGCCATTCTAGAGGCTGGGAGGCGTGGAGGGCAGCCGGGCAAAGTCTACGGGTTGGAGTCACAGTAGGAGATGTGAACACCCCATTGACCTCAGTGGATAGATCTTCCAGACATAAACTCAGCAAGGAACCAGCAGCCTTAAATAACACACTAGATCAGATGGACTAAACTGATATCGGCAGAGCATTCCACCCCAAAGCAGGAGAATATACATTCTTTTCAAGTGCACACGGAACATTTTCTAGGATAGACCACATGTTAGGACACAAAACAAGTCTCAATAAATTTAAGAAGTTTGAGAAAAAAATAAAAGGTCTGCGGATGGGTGGGGTGTAAGGGTCAGGTAGCCCAGCAGAGGGCAACAGAGGAAGGTGCTGGGCCCCCTCTTGGCAGCTGGAAGCTAAAGTGTGAATGGAGGACAATCCAGTTTTCTCTGCACACCTGAGGCTCACCTGGCACTCAGGGTCCAGCTGTTGCCAGTTGGAGGCCAGGGGTTTCCAGAGCCGCTGGCCAGCCGGCGTTATCTGGGGAAGTAGCCTCACCTTTGGACAAAAGCCTCTCCCTGAAGCAGATCCAGGGAGGTGGGGGGGGGGGGGGAGTCCTCATTTTCTGGGCTGTGGGGCCCCTAGGCAAGTTGCTTTGGGTCGCTGATATTTGATTTCCACACATAGAAAGTGGAAGGGAGTGGTGCAGAGGCCTTGGAAGAACCTGGCCCTCCAATCCAGCTTCTGGCCTTGCATTTGCTGCCCCCTTCACTATCCCCCTCAGGCCTCAGTCCCCTCCAAAGACACCCCACCTCCACTTCTGCCCCACCCTCCACTTGCACTCATTCTATTCCCCTCCAGCCAAGAACTTCTTTGCAAAGAAACTGTTCTCAGTTGTGGCCACTAGGAACTGTCTTGTATCACATGCCTTGCACAGGGCTGCTCAGAACAGGACAGTCATGTGTATGACTCCCCCTGAATGGGGACAAGTGGCAGATTCTGGGTGAAGTGCAGCGAGAGGCCCTCCAAAGAGGATGGGGTGAGCCAGAGCCAGGGGAAGATTTCAGGTGGGAGGTACTCTCCTTTTCCTGGTCCCCCATCCCCCTTCCATGAGCATGCTTCCTGGAGGAGGAGGTGACCTCAGAGAAATGAGTAGGTAGGGATTAAGCTGAGTCAGGGTCTGGAAGTGAATGAGGAGAGGACAGTAGGGTGGGGCCAGTGTTGAAAGGCCCTCAAAGGCTCTCTCTGGAGAGGCACAATTTATTTATTTATTTATTTAACATATTTTTATTGATTTCAGAGAGGAAGGGACAGGGAGATAAAGATAGAAACATCAATGATGAGAGAGAACCATTGACTGGCTGCCTCCTGCACGCCCCCTACTGGGGATCAAGCTTGCAACCCAGGCTCAGTCCGCAGGCCGATGCTCTGAGAGAAGCTGGATTGGAGGGTCAGTGGTTCTCAACCTTCCTAATGCCGCGACCCTTTAATACAGTTCCTCATGTTGTGGTGACCCCCAACCATAAAATTATTTTTGTTGCTACTTCATAACTGTAATTTTGCTACTGTTATGAATCGTAATGTAAATATCTGATATGCAGGATGTATTTTCATTGTTCGCGACCCACAGGTTGAGAACCGCTGAGTCAAATTGGCTAGGGCGAGGCACAATTTAAAATTAGACTCAGGCAGGTCAGATTTAAAATGAGTGGGCAGTGAGAGCAGCTGGGGCCTGATATGGAGGTTGCAGACGGAATGAAAGGAGGGACGCCAGAGGGATTTAAAGATAAAATGGTCAGGGTTTGGGGGAATTCAGGGAAGGCCAGGGCCTGGTTAGTGGGAATGGGGAAATGGGGCTGTTTCTAAGCTGGCCCGGCCAGCTCAGTGTGGGGTGTTGTGGGAGGGGACCTAGGAAAGCCCAGAGCTCAGACCTGAGGGGAGAGAAGGAGCTCCTTGCCTCCTCTTCCTCCCTCCCAGGGCTTCACAGGAACAAGGAGGGGGGATGGAGGAGGCTGATGGCCTGGATCCAGGTGACTCCCAGAAGATCTCCTTGTCCCTACTGCTTGTCAGTCCGCTTGTCCCAGCCACATGGTCCATTTTCAGACCCTGGGGCCATCATGGCCAGGCCTGGAAGCTGGACCGTGGACTCCGACGCTATGATAGGTGGAAAATAGCTACCCAGTGATGTCCATGAGTCCTAATGCCTGGAACCTGTGACTATGTGACCTTATATGGCAAAAGGGTCTTTGCAGATTTGATTTTAAGGATCTGGAGATGGGGAGATGATCTTGGATTATCCAGATGGGCCCATGTCCTATGACAGAGAGGCAGGAGGGTTAGAGAGACTAGAAGATGCTATGCTGCTGACTTTGAAAATGAAGGAAGGGACCATGAGCCACGGCATGCAGGAAGCCTCTAGAACAGCGGTTCTCAACCTGTGGGTCGAGACCCCTATGGGGGGTCGAACGACCCTTTCACAGGGGTCACCTAAGACCATTGAAAGACACATATATAATTACATATTGTTTTTGTGATTAAACACTATGCTTTAATTATGTTCAATTTGTAACAATGAAAATACATCCTGCATATCAGATATTTACATTACAATTCATAACAGTAGCAAAAATTACAGTTATGAAGTAGCAATGAAAATAATTTTATGGTTGGGTCACAACATGAGGAACTGTTTGAAAGGGCCGCGGCATTAGGAAGGTTGAGAACCACTGCTCTAGAAGCTGCAAGAGGCACAGACCGTTCTCCCCTCAAGCCGCCAGAAGGACCAAAGCCTGCAGACAGCTTGATTTTTATCTCAGTGAGACCCCTGTTGAACCTCTGATCTCTAGAACTATCAGATAACACATTGTGATGATTGTTACTGTAGCCATAGGAGACTCATACAGAATCTGAGGCCCCTATTCACAGTCCTGCTTCTACTATCAGACCCCCCTCCCTTCCCAAGTTGACTCATTTTCCAAATTATCACCGCTCTGGGCTGGCCCCCTCTCCAGGGCTGATGCTCTCCCGTTCTGGAGGGTTGGGGACTGAAGCCCTGAATGTCTGTCTGTTACTGCCTCTCTGGGCCCTGCAGTATCTATCCAGTTAAGTAACTCACACTCCAGTGCATCATGCAGGGCAAGTGTCTGCTGTCCCATGGCCTGACTATCCTGTCTATCCCAGACTTTGCCAATCAAGATTCCTGCCCTTGGAATCTAAAGAGTAAAATAAATGAACAAACAAAACAGAAACAAACTCACAGATACAGAAAACAGTTTGATGGTTGCCAGATGGGTGGGGGACTGGGGACTGGGTGAAAAAGGTAAAGAGATTAAAGAGTACAAATTAGTAGTTAAAAATACTCATAGGAATATAATATATAGCATAGGAAATATAGTCAATAATATCATAATAACTATTTATGGTGCCAGGTGGGTACTAGACTTATTGGGGGATCACTTTGTAAGTTATGTAAATGTCTAACCACTATGATGTACACCTGAAACTAATATAATATTGAATGTCAACTGTAATTGGAAAAAAAAATTCCTGCCCTCAATAGGGGTGAATCTACTCCCTGAAGTCAGAGGCCCCCAGTTCGGATAGACCTGGGCCCCATTTGTGCTGTGACCTCAAGTGTGTCACACAGCCTCTCTGAGCCTGTGGTGTTCCATCTGTGGAATGGAAGGTGACCAGGCCCACCAGGGGGCTGACACCTGGAGGGATCACTTTCTCCATTTGCCTGTCCTGTCCCTTCCCCTTCTAAGTGGCCTGAGTAGAAACTAGGGGAGGGGATTAGAGGGGAAAAATGGGGACTGGAAAGGCCTTGGCACTGGCTGTTCCCTCGGCCTGGAACGCTCTTCCTGCATGCCTGCAAAGTCCCCTCACTCACTTCCTTGGGCCTTTAGTCAAAGGCCCCCAGCTCCTCCATCCTGCCATCCCCATGATGGCTCCCCAGTCCTCCTGCCTCTTGTTCAGTATTTTTTAAAATTTGTTTACTTAACCCTAACCCTCACATGAGGATATTTTTCCTATTGATTTATTTAGAGAGAGTAGAAGGGAGGGAGAGAGAGAGAGAGAGAGAGAGAGAGAGAGAGAGAGAGAGAGAAACATCGATGTGAGAGAGACACGTTGATTGGTTGCCATCCACATGCGTCCCCAACCTGGGTCAGGGATCAAACCTGCAACCCAGGTATATGCCCTTAACCAGGAATTGAACCCGCAACTGTAACCACTGAGCAAACCTGGCCAGGACCCTCTTGCTCAGTATTGATCCTTGCACTGGCAGCCTCCCTGGACAGTGTCTGTC